TTGGCTAATTTGCTTAGCATCATCCTTGTTTCAGTTGGGATTATAGCTGAATTCCAGCAAGGCTCCCCGAGTGCCTCTCCATTGTCTGGACAGTGGACTCCAGTAAGCCCATATGCAGCCTTACATGCCAGAGATTTTCTTTGCTAGTTAACACACTGTAACTTCAAGCTGAGTTTTGAAAGTAAAACTTGGTTACGCCACAGTACAAAATGCAAGAGGGTGAACACAAATTTTTCTGGCTTAAATTGAAACCTACAAATGTTCAGCAGTGTTGTCTCCATTAGTAAATTCAACATGCTGAGAAACTGTCTTGGGTACTGACACCAAATAGAATGGCATGGTCTGACCTACACTGAAGCTACAATCTTGATCACTGAGTGCTGGTTGGAAATGCTTTCTGGAATGGTTGACTTCCAAATTCTATCCAGGAGTCATTTGAGAAGGTGCTGGTTAGCACATACCCAAACATGGTTAGAACATTTGGTCATTCTTTATTCTGCTAGATGGAGAAAAAAAGATGACCAAGATTTCCTGGTAGAAAGGGAATCTGCCTTTAAATATCTTGTTATTGGCATTATCTAAAAAATATAGCTCAAAGTTTTCAGATATTTACTGTTATTGGGAGACTACCTTCACAACCATTGTAACCTAAATAAAAGTATTGAAAGGTATTAGTTAAATGAGGAGTTACATGGTTGTAAACAAACAAATAAAGAAAAACACTACAATGTTGGAAGCAATTTATGATGTTCCAGTTGTCCAAGGTCAGCATCTTATAGAGGTGGAATAATATAATATAAGCATAATAGCTGCAATATAGCAGTATAGGATAATAAAGCATAACATAGCTGATCCTTTCATAAGGAAAACATGCAGCAATTTGGTGTAAGGAATGACTTGCAGAAGCTCCTGCATGTGGACTGGCATATATGAGACATTGGCTGAAAACATTGTTTCTGTAGTGGTTGCATTCTGAGTAAAGGAAATTAAAGGTGGTCATAGCTAGAATAAAATTATTACATCCAGAAAAAGAATAGCAAGCAGGAGAAGTGTAAAGTAACAACCCTTATGCTGAATTACAACTTTATAAGAAGAAGGACTGCTGGCAGTATGATGCATAAATTCTTTTTACAAAGAAGAATAAGGCACTCAATGTGCCATTGAAATGAAGGTATGATAAGAGCACATACTAGAAATTAATCTAATTCCTTTAATAAGGGAGGTTTGCACTTTAAACATCAAAACAAATTAATCCCAGACAAATTACGGGAGTTGGCACTCACTTATTAACAATTTCTGTCCTCATGACAAGGGAAACACCTGGGACTTGCTGCATGAAGAAAAATTGGTTTATTGGAAGTCTCAACTGGCTACAAGTATTGAAACAGCTCAGGTCAAGCAGTGATAAATAATTTAAAGAAACCAGTATGAGGTAGGTGTCACTTTAATTTTATATTACCAGATCTATTAGATGTTAACCATGTCAGACATGTAATTGCTAAATGAAATCATGTTTTTGTACCTTTGCTTCATAAAATATCACTTGCTTACTCATGCATTTTGTACAAACCTTGATGTTGGCACTGACACAGTTTCACATGCCCATTGCTTCTGACTAGCAAGTACTGTATTATCCTTTAAAATATATTGTAAGTATGCCAATTTTTATTTTTAGCAATTTGGAAAATGTGTTGAGCATTACCTGGGAATTGGCAAGGACAAGGGACATGCTGTGTTGGAATTCTGAAATATTTTTCTGTGCAACACTTTTACATATTAGCTTGTTTCTGGTAGAAATGAATGTAGATTTGGCATGCAAATTTTAACAGGTAAAGATATTCTGCCCTAAATTGTCACAAAGAACAGGTCATTCCAGTATTATTTTATTTGAATGCTTGGTGGGTGAACTCTGAGATATCTGCTGTCAGCATAGGATCTTAGAGAATTATGAAAAAAAGAAAAAGAGAATCCTAAGTCTTATGTGTAAGTGTTTTATTGTGAAATCCACAAAAACTACAATGATTTTGTAAGATTATCTAAAAATTAGCTTTTAACTGACTTTGGATTTTCCTTGTAGTTAAAGTCTCATTGGAGGTTTATAGATCAGTTATGTTTGAAAGGGAAAATGTTGTGATTGAGTGCTGTTGGCAACTTTTAGGGCTTCATTTTGAACCCAGTCATGATCCCATTAAATCAATGGGTACACTACTGGTTTCAAAATGACCCTTTTCATTGCTTCATTGATGCTAAGGAGTTACAGCCACGGACTTGCAAAGAAGCGAAATTATTTTATTAGAACTTAATCCCACAGGGACTTGCACAGAAACATGGGCCTCTATAAAGAGAACATAAAATACTACCACATGAAAACTCTATGTTGTTGGTTGTGCCGTGGTTTGTGACTTTACATAAAGTGTGATCCACAGACCATCATTAAGACCATTCAAATTCATAAGTAAAAGCATGCCTTTGAAAGCTGCATAAATACATTAATTCATTTACTGCAAGTAACTTCTTCTAGTTTCAGAAAAAATAGAATATTTTAAAAGTTGAGTTTTTCAGATAAACATAATGGTAAATATTTTTACTTCTCTTGTACATCTATTCCATTAATTTTTTTCTTCATGAATCAGTAACTGTCTTGAGTAAGTTTAAATAAATAGGAATTTAAAATTCTAGTGAAATTGAGGGTTTCTCTGTTTAGCAATTTTAGTTTTGAGCTCCTTTTCATGAGATGAAGGTACAGTGTTAACCATCTGGTATTTAATGAGAAAATCTTAAATTATGATATTTCTGCATCATGTTAAAAGCATCAGAAGAGATATTGAGTCTAAATCCCTTAGCATCACTATTATTTCAAATTAATTTAGCCCTATTTCTTGTTAAGCAGTGGATAGGCTGAGATGATAACAAAATGCTTCTGTGTCTTACATATTTAAACATTTACATTTCTCTAGGACAGGCTTTGTGTCACCTAATAAAAGAAAGAGGTTAAAAGATGAACTCACTAAGTCCACACTGTGGAGGCACAGGGAGTCTGGAAGCAGGTGAGCACAGTGGTGGCCAAAGCAGAGGAGAGATTCTGGTCTCCCTGGAGAGGTGGGTGCTCTGCCGCTCATGCTGGCAAAGAACATGGTCATTTTTCAAGGTGAAAATGCTGTTTTCTACTTCAATAAGAGTCAGTGAGTGCGCATCTCTTGTCATTAGATGCCAAAGACTAAATAGGTTTATTTGATCAGACTCTGAATTCTTCTTCCAAAGGATGAAAGGACTTTGAGTACCGTGGTGCATGGCTGTGGAAGGGTGAATTTCACCAAGTAACCCATGATATTTTCCTTAAAAAATGTCACTGAAGGTAGAAGTGCATCATCCATTTTCATGTTTTGGCAAGACCCAAAAATTTGAAACTGTCAGACTTTTACTGGTGTATTAGCACTAAATGGGATGCTGGGAGTGTGCATGCATGTGTGATAGATGTTTGGAGGTGGGTGGTGTAGGCTGGCTGTTGTCCCTGTGGACACCTCTCAACATTTACAGTTTGAACTCCCTCTTTTCAGACCATTTTCTGGTAATTGTTATGATTTCTGGCAAGCTCTAATGGGACCAGATACTCTACCCCCAAAAATCCAAGTACTCTTGGTTTCTAGATAAAAACCTTCCGTTTAAAATACATTTGTCTATTTTTATAAGTTCTAAAGGTAAGTGGTCCCATGGGAAGGCACTGCTCTTCTGTTATCAGCCTTGCAGAGGTGAAGCTGCCTTTAGAGTTGAGCAAAAAAAGTTGCTTTAGCACTGTCAGATATCTAATTAATCCCTCAGTAAATAAAGGCATTCTGTAATTAAATAAGTAAGATGTGCAATCAGTTCTAAGACAAAATGCTTTGCATATTAATATATTGTAATCCAGGAGCCATATGAGGCTTGGTTTTAGATATGAAGTGTTTGTAACAGACTTTTAACATTATGGGGAGCACAGGCAAAACAGTGGGGTATATATTTTTTTGGCAAAATTCTGCTGAGTGTGCTCTGCGGGTAAAGATTTGAATGTCTATTAAAAAAAAAAGGATAATTTTCAGTAGGGAAAAGAACACAGTTTCCGGATGTGGATTGCTGTAAATAGGGATTGTTGTAAAAAGGGATTGAAAAGTAACCTTTTGACATTATAATGGAGCAGCTGTGCTGCTGGGAAACCGGCGGGAAGGTGAAAGTGTTCTGCGAAGGGGGTTCATGGTTTGGGACAGTTTGAAGACCGCAAGAACCAGCAGCACCGCGTACCAGCTACCCTACAATTAGTCAGTTAATCTCTGGGGTGGTCGGCGCTGTCCGCCTCCGTGCATGAAGCACTTGGGGTTATAATCACGGACGTGACACCGGGAAGAGCAACTAACATCTATTCCGGACGGGAAAGCGATGGGAAATGAGGGATGTAGCGGAGCCCCGCTCACCTGGCGGCTCCCCGGCCCCTCCCATTGGCTGCCCGGCGCCCCGCCCCCGCCTTCTGATTGGCTGCTGCCGCCTCCCGCCCCCGCCCCGCGCGCGGCAGGTCCCGGTCCGGTACCTGGAGGGGAGCGCGGGGCCGCTCCCCCCGCCCTCGCCGGGCCGCCGCGCGCTCCCATTGGCGGCAAGGCCGGCGTGCTGGGCCCGCCCATTGGCTGGCTGTGCGGCCGGCCCGGCCGCGATTGGCCGGCGGGCGGGGGCGGGGCGCGCCCCGCCGGGAGCCGGGCGCTGTGTTTGGGCTGGAGTTGCGGCGGAGCGGGCTCGGGAGCGGAGCTGTGCGGCCGCCGCCGAGCAGCGCGTTCCGGGCACGGCGCTCGGAACAGCCACGGGCAGGGGGACGGGATGGCCGCCTCGGGCGGGGTGCGGCGCGGCGCGCTGGGCTGAGCGGAGCGAGCCGCGGTAGCCCGCCTGCCAGGACCATGCCGTCGGGCAGGGAGCCGTGCGCCCCTCGGCTGCGGGATCCGAGCGGGGCGGCCGCCCCGGCAGCGGCCGGCAGCGCCTGATCCCGCGCCGCGCTGCCCCCGCGCACCGCCATGGACGAGCGCTTCAACAGGTGGCTGCTGCCGCCGCTGCTGGCGCTGCTCTTCCTGCTCATCGTCTACCAGTACGTGTCGCCCGCCTGCCCCGGCGCCGCCTGCCCCCGCCGCCCGCCGGCCTCCGCCGCCCGCCGCGGGGGGGGCCCGGAGGAGCGGGAGGAGGAGGAGGAGGCGGCGGCGATGCCGCGGCTGGCGGCCAAGTTCCCGTTCGCCCGGGGGGAGCTGTGCCGGCGGGTGCGGTTCGACATGCGGGGCCGCGACGTGATCGTCTTCCTGCACATCCAGAAGACGGGCGGCACCACCTTCGGGCGACACCTGGTGCGCAACATCCACCTGGAGCAGCCCTGCTACTGCCGGGCCGGGCAGAAGAAGTGCGCCTGCCACCGCCCGGGCGGCGACAAGGACACCTGGCTCTTCTCCCGCTTCTCCACCGGCTGGAGCTGCGGGCTGCACGCCGACTGGACCGAGCTCACCAGCTGCGTGCCCGCCGCCATGGAGCGCCGCGGCTGCGCCGGTAACCGCACCCTCAGGTCAGTGCCTGCTTTCCAGATGCTCCCAACCAGATCCCGCCTTTCCCAGCGCTCTGGGAAGGTGCCCTGGCAGCAGGGCGAGAATTGCCCGCTGCTGTCCTCAATAGGAAACGAACGGCGGGGCGTTCCGGGGGAGGGTGTGCTCTGAGCTCTTCCCTTCCCGGTGCGTTACCCGCGGTGCTTTGCCTCTAATTCTGCCTCTGGTGCGGGTTAGCGGAGAGAAACTCCGCTCGTGCTCCCGCAAGTTTCTCCTGTCTGTCCGTCCTCTCGAAACTTGTCTTTAACAAATCACTACGCTCTCCTGCAGCAAGCGGAGTGCCTCTGCAGAATCTGATGGATCGCTGCAGCTGCTGGGTATTGTAACTAGCGGAGTTGGCAGTATCCAGAAGCCCTCAAACTCACTTTCTGCCCGTGTTTCGCGCTGGCACATAGGCAGGGTCTGCGCTTCCCGTGCCCTCTTGGCCGCTCGCTCTCCTTGCAAGCTCAGAGTCGGGAGAACATGTGTGGTCCCTGTACTGGCAAAAATCGCACTAGGATTGTCCCTTTGGTGACCTGATGACAGTGGAAAAGGGAATTCGGTGTGCGGGCTGCCTCTCTGCAGGTTATAGTGTGGTTTTGTTGGGTCTTGCGTGTTCTAAACATGGAATAATTGTCAGATGGGCGATCTCTCTTGATAAGAGATACCTCTGGGTGATTCAGTAAGTTTTGGTCTTTGTTCTGATTTATTCACCGTTCAGTCAGATTATTTAGGGTAGCTTTAGAACCTGTCTCCATTTGATTGATTTTGGACATGTATTCAGGAGTTATGGGCTGAATTCATGCTTAAACCTTTGCACTTTAATAATTGTAACTTCAACTCTGTAAAATATTAAGGGAAATACAGGAAGAATACCTTTAAAAAAAAGTTAAATAGTTTGGGAGCTACATTATGTTCTTTTATTTTAGTATTCATCTTGACCTTATGCGTACACAAACTTTAAATTTTCAGTAGAATTACTTCCACATTGTGGTTTGTATCTTGTCACTTAACGTGTATAGTCTGTGACATTCGTGGGCACATTTTCACAGGGTTTATTCATCAGGACAATAGAGTTGATTATTGTTGTTGAACAATTTGAAGGTTATTTGATGTGAACATCAGAGGCCCTCCCATACGGCAAAGCTAGTTGCATTTGGAATGACTCCAGTCAGGATAATTTAAATTTATTGTGGGTGGTTGTGGACTTTAGCTATACTTGCAGAATACTGTTAAGGTAATTCGTACAATTTCATGAAAAAAATTTAGCTGAATATGAAGTGTATGTATTTGCTGATGGAAGAGAAATGCTGGGAATGTCTTCAAGGACAAAATAACTTGGTGGTAGCTGTAGAACTTTAAGGAATATTCAAGAAACCTAATGTAAAAGGGAGGGGAGGAGGAGGAGTAATACTTGTAAAAATGTTTGAAAATACATAGTCTGCCAGTGAAATCCACTTTTTCTCTCATGAAGGATATTAGTGGGTAAACAACTGAGTGCTAAATTCAGTTGCAAAGATTACAAATGGGAAATAAAATTGGAGTAGTGGCTTCAGTACTATTACAGAAAAACATTCTTGTATTAGGTAAATTTAAAACTTCAAGTTGAACTACACAGCCAGTCATAGGGGCTGTGGTTGTTCAGTGCATAGTCAGTAATTACTTGGACTGAAAAAAGTAGTGATACTTTGCTATTATAGATAAACAGTGTTTTCTGAGTTTTTTTTTGTTACTGATGTTTTTTTTATATTAGTGGATTGATTATTTGGCTAGTGTGTAAGATTGCACTTCTTGATTTGCCTTTACATAAGTGAGGAAAGCACTGTGAATAGTTTATTGCATCGTTTTATTACTTGTTTATTCTTGTATTATAAGTTGTGGTGGGAGACTCCTTTACATTTTCCCCTTTGTTCTGTCATTACAACCATGTAGCTTAGCTTCTGCTTCTCAAGGAACTCTAAAAGGAATCAAATAAACCTAAAGTATGGATTATCTCTGCTGTGAATGTCTTTGCTACTGGTGAAATTGGAATCAAGCCCAAAATACTTTGCTGTACTATTAGAGGCATGGATTTCAGTATTTTTTTAATGTCTGAATGGAGACTGAATACCTAAAATAGGCAAGAAACTAGCATACGAGTCTAAAGTGAAGTGTACTGAATATTTTCAAGTCTTCCTTTAAAGCTCCTGAATGTATTTGAAGCCCTAGACTTCCCTGAGTAGCTCAACTTTTCTCTTCTGCCTTCCACCTATGGTGTCAGAAAATTAGGCTAAATTGGTTAAATATCTGACAGTGGATTTTCTTTGTGGTCAGCAGGACAAACTTTTATGGATTTGGTACCAAGGTGTTTGATCTCCTGTGCTATGTACTTGATGCAGTGAAAATGTTTTGTGTATTTCAGATTCTTTGTTTGTTTCTCCACTAGCAGGTGTTAATATAATCTATTCTTTCAGATCCTGGTATATGCAGTCTGTCTTCTACTACAGCAGAGGGAATAAAGGGTTTTTAGTGTATGATAGTGAAAATTTGTTTCTTAGAGTGCTAAAAATAGTGCAAGTTAGATTAAGTCCTACCTTTAAACGCAGATCTTCAGAAGATTTCACGAAGAAACTATGATTAGAATTCATGGGGAAAAGGGCTTGCTGGTAAGGAGTAGATGGTCTGGTAAAGGTCTTGGAAGAACTGTGAAGCACAGTCTCTCCTCAGGTCTTTTCTTTCATAGACAGTGTGTTTAATCACATTAGGGTTTTGAAAGAATTTGTCTTAGTTTTTCCTCTTCCTAGTGTTGGAGTTTTGAAGTCTCAGGACCCAAGATGGAGCATGGGGCAAAAACTGATGCTGTGCTCCAGAAATCTGAACTTCTTTAAGTCCAAGTGCCAGCATGGACTTTTACCTCTATGGGACTTAATGGTATGGTGTGCCTTGTCCCAGCTTCAATATGAAAAGTTGTTGGTTAGCTTCAATATGAAAAGTTGTTATTTAGCTTCAATATGAAAAGTTGTTGGTTGTTAATGTATTGGATGCTACTGCGAAGTTGTAGAACTGTCTCTTTTGTTAGAAAACAAAGTGACATTACTTTTCATTTGAATTACATTACTTTAAAAAACAACCAAACCAAGACGAAAACTGTAGGCTCTATTTCTTCAAATGTTTGCATCTGTTTTCATTTTCAGGATGTGAGATTTTCTCCTAAGATACCTGCTTAAGTGTCTACAGAGCCAGGCTATTAGTTTTTCATACTAATGTGTGCTTTCACCTTTACAAAAGCTGCTATCTGGATAGGGCCTTTAATGTTTTTTTTTAATTTAAGAATTTCTTTTTAAAGTAACAGTGTTTTATGTGTTTGCATTGCCCTCTGAGGAAGCCATTGAAGTTGGTGGTGCTTGTGTTCAGCTCCACCCCCAGAACTTGGCTTTCCTTCAGAGGTGCCAAGAAGCTGAAACTGCGGAATCTTAGCCAATACTGCCTGAGGAAAGAATGGAAGAGAAATGGTGTGAGATGTCTAAGCTGGTATGCCAGGGAAGGGTTGGTGTTGAGTCCGAGTGACATTAGGCTGTCTCTGCAGACAGTGGGGAGAAAGAATAACACAGGCAGCCCTTTTAATGATCTCAGACATGTTTGAGACCTGCTGAATTGTCTTCTGGAGGGCCAGTTCCTCCATTCACTGATACCTAGGGAAAGGCTAGAATTGTGACTTGAGACTTTGTGTCTAAAACTAGAAAAGGAGAGTTCCAGATCCAATATTGCAGAAACATTGTCCAAACTGATTGTCTGCCTCTGTTAAGTTGCCAGGTAATCCTTGGGGTGTGAGGTAAGGCTTGCTTTGTCTCTCTGCTCTGTGGAGGAGGGGTTGAGAGAACCTGACAAGTCCTGATCAAGGCACTTTTTATCCCTTGCTGATGATGCCTGCAGTATAATAAATAATTATTTATTATTGTTTATTTGAAGGTTGATTAAACTAGGAAGGCAATCTTTTAACTATACAGTTGAAAGAACACTTTATTCTAAGTTTTGTCTAATTATCTAATATGAAACCGTGAAATCACTCAAGTTGGGTAAACCCATGAGCTTTATTGTTAATGCAGTTTAGTCTTCAAAACTATTGATTTTCATTAATTCACTTCCAATTATACTCTCTATTTCCTTGTCCTTTTTAACTTGCCATATGCTACATTTTTCTATGGAAGTGCAAATCAGCAGTAAACCCATGAGTCCTGAAATGGAGAAAGTTGAATAGAAAATATTAGTAGAATTCCTTTTCCTTCTTTTGCATTCCTTTATTTGACTATTATGTTGTTTTTTTAAGCTCTAGCTATAATAGAACATAAGACAGACTCTGGTCTTTGCAGCTGTGGTAACTGATCATCACAGAAATGCAAGAGTATTAATTGAAAAACAGGACTATGTGGAAGATAGTGGAGAGAAGAGAATAAAAAGTCACAAATATTTAAACTGAAAGAAAAGCACAAATTCTCTGTTGTACCTTAGTATCTTCTACTGAAATAAGCCAGTAAATTCTATACAGTTTTTAAAATAAATGTAAGCAACAAAGACTAAACAATTTCCTGTGGTCCTGCTACTGACTGCGGGCTTTTTACTTCCTTACCTGTCTCCAGTGTAATCTGCTCCAGGGTTTCATTGTCCTTAAAATTGAAAAGTGGTGTTGTCTTCCCCAAGTGCCTAGTGTGAATCTTGTTAACTTCAATTTTAAGCCCATTGCATCTCCTGTCTTTTGAGAACCTGAGAACAAATCGATCTCGTTTTCTCTGCAGTAGCCTTCTGGGTACTTCGGCTCTTAAGATGCCTTCTTTCAAGCTTCCCTGCTTAAATAGTAACCAAATCCAATTCACTCTATCTTTATTGGAGGAACACAAAGAATGGCCTACTCTTTGGGTTTGTGTCAGTTGTTTCCTTGAAAAGTGGTGTTTCAGTGGGAATACAGTGTTTCGTCTCTTATGTGTAGTACAAAATGGACCAGAAAAGA